TCCTTATCACCATGAAAGCAATGGACAAGTAGAAAGAGCCAACCGTACCATCCAAGAGCTCATTTCAATGGCTATCAAGGATCACCCGGACAGATGGGATAATGTCATTCACATGATAACATACGCTTACAACACTGTGGACAATTCGGCAACGAAGCACTCCCCTCACAGCGTGATTTATGGATGTGAACCCAACAACCCTTTCCGTGTTGCTTTGCAACTTCCCACCAAGAAGTTTGTTGATGAAAAGGACTACGCTGATCAACTGACGATGACACTCAAGAACATTTGGCAGGAAGTCCATCACAACATCGAACATTCTCAAGAGATCCAAACACATCAGTACAATCTCAGGAAAAGGACCTCACCAAAGGATTTCAAAATGGGACAAAAGGTGATGATCAGGAAACCGACTGGAAACAAGCTCACATCTCGCTTCGAAGGCCCTTTTGAAATCATCGACATTAATCGTCCCAACATTACTGTTCGTGATGGAAGACGAACGCGTGAAGTTCATATGAACCGTGCAAAAATTTATCATCAGCCGGACACTCAGGAATCACCGACAGCCGAAAACTAATCAAATCCCTCCTGACCCAGGCCCTACGACATCAAATACCCCCCCCCCCCCGACACCACATCAAGAACAAGAGATATCAACGATTCTTCTTCTTCTTCTTCTCTCCTTCTCTTCTCCCCCCCCCCCCCCTCCGATCCCAGCCAACGACACACCTGTATTACAACTACGTGAGGCACCAATACACACCCGCATGACTACCAAATTGATATGGACAAAAGTACCCGCAATGCAAGTGGATATCTACAAATCTTCAATGCAGTCACCCCAATACCGCTAAGAACGATTCGCCTAATACTGTAAAATGACGACGAAGGACAACATCAGTGGTCAATGGACGTGTCATTCAAAACCGAGCAACATCGAATGGATGACGTTCTGCTGCGCTACTGATCCTAGCTTCTCCAAACAGCCGCGTTAATCTGCTGTCTGCACCTTTCGGCTTATCACATACGTTTCCCGTCAACAACATCGCGCACCCAATCATGCACCTTCGCGCGCCCACATCACCAAATAAGGGCATAATGATTATGTTTGCGTGATATGTACTAACAGCATCGACATAATCATAGGTATTGATTGCATTGGTATAGTCATAAATGATTGCATTGAAATAGTCATAGGTCATTATAGTTATGTGTAATAAAGTTGTAGTTGTTGTAATTTGTAAACTAACCGGTAAATTTTTACTGCACTTGCATTGTGTGAATATTTTTAGATGACTCCCGATAGGCCCGGAAACAACGAAAGCCTCGATGAGGTCCCCATGTGGGACACCCTATCCATACAATCGAACTCATCCGAGGAATTGGACTCATCCGAGTCGGAACTCACGGACGACTGGCGGGAGGAGCCATGGAGCCATCGCCACCTGAAGTAGAGAGCTACTTATTTCAAGGGCCCTCGGAAACAACATCCTCGAGGGCCGAAGACCAGCCACCACTCGAACAAGTAGCCTCTCCGGACGCAGACAACTGGCCGACAGTTGAGCCGATGGATTTCAGCAGGGACCCGGCTTACCGACAGTATTTCGAAGAACAACGTGAAGAGGAAGACCGAAGAGAGCAATCGCCACGACCCGAATGGCCATACCTCGGCTACTTCTACGAGAGGAACGAGGATGGAGTACTAGAACTAGTCTAGTACTCGACGGAAGGATTTGGAGATCGGTATGAGTTCCCCGAAAGGTCAGCTGGCGATGATCCGACTCAAGCCTGCATGCTCTGTCACAGCAGCTCCCACCTAACGCATGAATGTCAGGCCCAAACGCCTCTCTTCCTCCGAATGGCCACTCTGATGGTACACGGCCTCTGCATGAGATGCGGTCGGCTCCACAACGAAGATTTTCGGGAATGTCATCGCCCAATTCGATGCCGCATATGTCGAAGTCCAGACCACCCTACGGTCGCCTGCGTAGCACACCGCTCTCCCCTGCCACCGCCGCCACCACCCGAGTCCGAGGATGACTTCGAGTAGATACTTTCTTTAGTTCCGGGGCCCGGAACTTTCGAGGGTGTAGGATGTGGTGCCCGCTAAAAAACATCATGCACCAAAGTGCAATTGTGCAGCCGAGGTTGGAGGCGGAGCCTCAGCTTTGCAGCGGAGAGATCCGGCTGCAGGGCAAGCAGCTCCCCCGCCTCAAGGGATGGCACACCATCCTACGCCGCCGAAAGGGCTGGGCGGTTAGTAGTGCAGAGATGAGTCATCGGGTAATAACCATCTCAGTTTTTCTCATGTATTTGTACCTCACTTATCTTATGTGACTATATCTCATACATATTTGCTGCCTTATATGTAATCGTGATTGTAGTATAGTTATGTGTGTTGCTTTTAGTGCTTTTTTTTTTGAAGATAAAGGTGTGGCCAATATAGTTCTAGAAACTGTTGGGAGAGGAGAAAATCAGCACGAAATGGAAGCCTGGAAGGGAAGAAGTGGTGTAGAAATTTTGAATACATGACGTCCGCTTGTCAAAATAAAGTTGTAACGTGTATGCGGAACCGCGGGCGTTATAACTGGAACTCACTGCGCTATGCCGACTCCACGAATAAAATGTAAACAACCACTCATTTAGAAAGTCTTTTCACGTGAGATCGGTGATTTCGCGTGGATGAAACTTTTCGCAGGAAGATAAACGCAAATTTGAATAGGTTTTTGGATTTGTCATGACTTGGTAGTCGCCATAAAGGTAATGATAACGGTGAGCTACATCTCCATGCGAAAACCTTCTCAAACGCTTAGCTAGAACCTTGGCAAATTGACCATTTAACAACCAATTCGTTTTGGCGCCGTTTTCGTTATGTAGTAAACTTTCGACCACTTTTCTGGCTAAACTCCATCGCTTGCACATTTCCTTACCAAACTCATCCACGACTCTGTAAAAAGTGGTGATACGGACCGAATTTTGCGGTACAGAAGCCAGGTGGACCCGTTTGGCGCGCAATTTTTGAGGGATCCACTTAAGGAATCTACTCGTGCTTTTGCATGCTGGACTTTCATGAAGGTAGCATGCGCTATACAAAATTTGGGCTTAGAACGCTGGCTGGAACACGCTCCACGAATTTAGTAACAGACACACACACACACACAAAGTCACGTAAACATCCTTAGCCCGTTATTATAAGTCATGATGTATGAAGCTTACTGCCTTAGGCTTGCTCTTGCTTGACGCTTTTGATATCTTTATAGAATGTTGTCGGTTCGTGAGTAGCAGAAATGAGCGACTAATATCCGCTGCAGTGACAATTTCCACCGTTTTTCGTTTGTACGTACAAGCAAATAGAGCATGTGCCCGAATTCATCCTCTATAATCATCGTGTCCATAGTCAACACATACGTGAGACCAGGTGTATGTCAAGAGGCGCGATCTTTATTGCTAGATGGACACTAATTAGCGCATTTCTAGCATTTTATGATGTTCTAGGAGCAACTCAAATTTCTAACAAGATATATATGGTCGTCTCATGGGTTGCTCGATCTCATAATTTCAAAATAGATTCAAAATATAAGTGTTGAAGGTCAAAAACCCCTGAAAATGCAAGTAATGGCGTTTTTGTGAATATTTTAATCAAGACTTCACCAGAAGTCATCAAACTTGGCAGGTGGTAGCTTCAGATGGTTAGTAAGCTACTGTACTTTGTTTCGTATTATTGAAAGACTCGCATAGCTCTAAATCGGATTGTTAAAATGGTGACCTCTAGGAAAATCGCGCCTCTTGACCGTCTTCCCGTGAGACCAGTGTACGGAGAAATTCTCAAAGGAAGTGGCTTAAGTTTGTGACTGCGAGCTTTCCAACCTACATGACCTTTTGGATGCGCTGAGTCCAGTGCTGTGCTTGAAGTGTCAAAAACGTGCTTTTCACGGCGTTTTCATGCTCTGGAGATAGCTGGAGGGAGCGGGCGAGGGATTCCCGCCAACATCGCAATTGCTGCATGAGCCGATCAGCCGGTTACCCCTAAAATGGGTGGAGTCACAGTATTCTGCAGCCATTCGCTGTTTATGGCGGGAGTCCCTCGCACATCCCCTCCAGCTATCTCCGCGGTAGGAAAACGTCGTAAAAAGCACTTTTTGACTGTTCAAGTACAGCATTCGACGCATCCAGAAGGCCATGTAGGTATGGAAAGCTCGCACTCGCAATTTTCGCAGGCCACTGCCTTCAAGATAAAATAGTTTGGCATTCAATCAGACTCGAATAATTTTCTGTTGCATCCATTCTGCAGAGAGGGTGGCATCAATTTACGCAGCAGTTCATGCGCAAGCTGCTCAGACGTGCATGCGCTCTCCACCACAACCCGAACAGAATGACTACGCGAGTTTAAAGGAGTATCAGAATCTTGTTTAACATGTGAGGGTCCGCGAAAAAACTTGTTCATCATCGCTGCACGAATTCTTATGCTGAAAATGAATACAATTTGGGAAGATGGGAGGGGGGGGGGACGGCCTTTTCGCACGGGTGTATGCATTAGCGTCCCTGCTTGACTCATCCAAAAATGTCTATCACGCAGCAAATTTCACTTCATTTTTCTGCTTGTGTAAACGCCGCAGGGGTTGTCGCGCGCGTGCGGTCTTGCATAATAGCCCTACCAGCATTATGGTCGTGCCGTTTTGTGGTAGTTGTCTTTGCATGCGCAGCATTCAATTAGATTTATGCGCATTCTAGGATGACTGTCCATAATATTCTCCTTTGAGATATCTTCGTTAATTTTTACTTACTATGTAAAACACTCTAAGATATTAGCATCACGAACTTGGAATGTTGAAGCGTAGGTTGTCTCATTTCCATGCGTGACAGAGACTGATTCTTGTCGTAACCTACAAGAATTTGGGTTTATGCCAAGCCTATCATCGGAAGCCGTCATTTCAAGTGCTAAAGGAGCTATTGAGCCGTGGCAATAACAAGCATACTTACCACAGTCTACTTTTTAGGCCCACCAAGAAAGAAGGTGGAAAAGTGGGTTCGAGAGAAAATATAGTACCGTAAGTGTCAAGAACTCTTAATTGCGTTTCACTTTCTTATGCGAAATAACCAAGTTTCTTCTTATGAATCAGCATGTCTTAAGTGATGATAATGAGTGTGGGGAAGATTGCGTGCAAGGCTTGCCAGTAGTCGAGGTTGTACAGTCGCTAAATTGTTTGCCTAATATAGTGTCCCTGCAGACGCAACAACGCTTGTGCGTCAACAGTTGCCATTGCGAGTTTCAGTGCCGACGTGGTGGAAAGTTTACTAGCGTTCAAAGAAATGCTTCAAAAGAGGAAAGAGTGACAAAAATGTACATAACCGACCGACGACGTGGCTTTCACAAAGATACCTGAGAATAAGGATGATATACCTACTCAGAAAACAGAAACTATCTTCAGCTGAGCTTTTTCTCCTTTGTCAGCAATGACTCACCTAAAAAGCAAAGAAGACACTAGAAAACATGGCTCGGAAATCCGCAGTGGCAACTGCTGACGCACAAGTGCTGTCGCGTCTGCAGGCACACTCTATTACCCAGGAAATCGGATTGTAATTTCTTTGATCCACGAGCGTTTAGTGATTGAGTAACGTCTTTGTAAAGCTTCTTAAATGATAAGAAAAAATTCTCGTATGCAGGAATGACAATATCATCTTAGATAGACGTCCGAGGCAAACTTGAGTCAATAATTTTGGGACCATCATCCAAATTTTCTAATTTTTTGTCACCCAGCTCTCGGCGCTCTCAGGGCTAGAGGGTCATTAAGGTGCCCTCTGTGCTAAAATAGATTATAGACATCCCATTTTTTGTTTAAAGACTTCGTACAGAGACTGCGTGAAGATCTGAAAGAAATGCTATGTGAACCCCATGCTACAAGGTATCAAATTCAATTAAACAGGATTTTGACTCAAGTAAAATCTCTTCAATGTTGGTGTGATGCATATTCATCAAGAACGAAACGCGAGACTCCTCTCAAACAGTAAAAAAAAATTATGCTCCAGAAAACGGAAGTTCTCCTCAAAAGAAGCAATAATGGATATGCCAAGAGAGTACTGTGAAACATATCTAGTCAAAAAGCCAATGGGTGCGCGAATTCATAAAAGCGATTGTAGAGTAAGTGCTTTCATGAATACACCTTCATTCTCATTTCGTAACCTGAAGTAATTTCAGATCACACATATTGACGTCAACTCTGCACTGGTTGGAAAGGCTTTTGTGGGCGACGTTATTGTAGCTCTTGACAAAAAACCCATAAAAAATTGTGAAGATGTGCATAAGAAGCTCAAGGAATCAAAAGACGTACTCGTGACGAGCACTGATCAATCACTTTTGGATAGAAAGTATTATAGAAAGTGTTCGTGCAAATAAGACATGGAATGTGGTCTTGGTGTCAGCACCGTTGCACAACCCTTGAGCGTATACAAATGGACAAGGACACGGAGAAAGTTACAGGCAGACCCATAGATATATACTTTGTAAGTTTGCCGAATATTAGAATTTCGCATCATGTTCACGCTGCTTCACAGGATAATATTAGGTTGGCACATAATTATTGCAACTTTTCCTATAACTTTTTTCTTATTTAACAGTCTCAATCTCTGGCAACATATTAGGTCGTTTCAAAAGTAATTTCGCTTTTTTCAAACGAGCGCCACATTAGATGGAACAAAGGTTTCTAAGAGGTCTTGGAAGCATTCGATGCAGAATTTCATTCTCTTTCTAATGGTTATGAAATTGTTGCAAAATAGTCAATGAGCTTTTAGAAAATAACCAAAATCTGTGACCCATGCTTTTTGAGATGGTCAAGTTTCACGATTTTTTGAAACTTTTATATCAAACCTCCGAAAAAGTCCAAGTAGCGCCTTTATAAAGCAAACCCTACAGAATGCAAAACTACTTTTTTCTCCTTTCCATAGCTTGTCATACATTTTTAACAGAATTTCAACTGATGCTACCGATTTCCATACTTGGACAGCTAAATCCTCGTAGAACATCAACAGAAGAGCAGCTCGCGCATTATTCGATGCAGCATTTTTTCCTCTTTCTAACAGGTGTTTTTTGTTTCCGATTCGTTTAGTTTCCGGGAAGAAATCATCATAACTCATTTTTTTAGCGAGCCCCAGGCTGTACCCGAAAAACTCGAAATTTGATATTTCGAACCCGTAAACCTTCACTTGCTTTGCAAAATTAATGCTAACTCATAGTACCATTTTGGTAGTCTCAAATTCCGAAAAATTATGATGTTTGATGCGATTGTGGCCGATGTGGGCCTGCCAAAATCCGATGGTTTTGTTGAAAAATCTTTTAAAAAATTACGGCGAGTTATGAGAAAGAGGCAAAAGTAGTTCTGTATTCTATAAGGTTTACTCTATCGAATCTTTACTTGGACTCCTTCTAAGGATTGATATGAAAGTTTTAAAAAATCGTAAAACTTGACCATCTCAAAAAGCATGGGTCGCAGTTTTTGGTTATTTTCTAAAAGCTCATTGACTGTTTTGCAACATTTTCATAACCATTAGAAAGAGAATGAAATTCTGCATCGAATGCTTCCAAGATCTCTTAGAAAACTTTGTTCCATCAAATGTGGCGCCCGCTTGAAAAAAGCGAAATTACTTTTGAAACGACCTAATATTATTGTGCGTAAGCTTCAAGTCCGCGCAAAATGTTTGATTTTTGATAACGTAGTAGAAGTGATGCAAGCATTCTTTAAAAACTGTTATCAAGGTTCCACGATCTTTGGCAAACTTAAAGCCCTACAAAACCTGCATCAAAAACATAAAAAAGGAATTATAGGCAGCATGTAGCTAGAACTTGACACATTAGAATCCGTAGAAAAAAGTGAAATTTAGAGACCAATCAAGATAAGGCGCCTTTAAGACGTAGAGCAAAGCAAATGCATCACGCTTGGAGGGCAATCGGTTAATAACTAAGCCGCGAAACCTCAGATTCGCTAAAACTCTACACAATAAGGAACAATGTGAACATTACGGTGAACACATGGTACTTTTCCGCTATCCGGACCCATTTTTTTTCAAAAAGCTCTCACAACATACGTTTTTTAGTTTAAGAATAAATTTTTGTAGATTCTACGAAGACTGCCTCCCCGCCACATGTCAGGAGAAATTTCACACGTTTTCATTTTGACTTGTTTTTTCGAAATCATTTCCGGTGAGCTAAAAGAGCGTTTGCGACCACCTAAAAGCCTTTCAACTGTTTTCAATAAAAGCAAAACTGTCTAGGACTTATAGCAGAACATCTTAGTTGCTTTTAACAATAATTCAAACTTGTCTTATTATAACAGTGTTCATTTCTAAAATCCTTTATTTGAAAATGGGGTCATTATAGACTTGAATACAGATTGTATTTACGTCGCTAGGCAGTGCAAAACAAAATTTTGGTAAAACCTGTTAAACATGTAAACGACGTGTCAATTTTTTTGACACGTAGCAGAAGGTTGGCACTCCTTCCCGTTAATTTGGAACCAAGTATGGTACGAGAATAAAAGCAATATCTTTCTTTGAAAAAATGGGTCCGAATAACGGAAAAGTACCTCTTCACTTCAATTACCTCCATCTTCAACAGTCGCTAAGATGAATTCCATTGCTTACGAAAGAGGCCTTTTCATGCGAGAGGGTCTCATTTTTGTATCGGCATGTCGAACCCCCATAGGCCAAGTTTCAGCAAAATCCAACGCAATGCAAAATTTTCCCCATAATACCGTAAATCTACTGTAAACTTTACATAAGATAGCAAAATTCGGCAAAAATATTTGCATTTGCAGTTTAAATCATAATCCTTATTTTGCCAGAAAATGAATGCGCTACGTTCAAGAAGACAAGAGTTATATAAAAGTTGTTTTACTTATGTGCCCCCCTAATAAAATATTACTGCCAACATCATATAGTCTCTGTTTGACATAATTATTAGGTCCTCTACAAAGAATATTCCTGAGTGCTTGTTTCACTCGTAAATCGTTGTTGTCTGATTCAAATGTTGTTAGTGGGGTGCTATGCACCAAGATCGTTGCTTGGAAAAACTGGGTAGTGTTGTATAGTATTTATTTTATTCGTGAGGTGATATGTCATGAGGTCTTATCATCCGCTTTACCGAGTGCAAGCTATAGCCTTGCGTCAAGGGGCCATTGTATTGGGTTGTAAAGATAGTTCTGCCAATTCTTCTCGTAAATACCAAAAGTGGATACGAATGCAAGGGGCCAGTTTGAGATGTGTTTTTAGTGTGCGGTGGCCCCAGCTACCTAACACGCTATTCAGCTCGAAAAAATGACGATTAACTAGAAAGAAATGCAAAAAAAGGAGAAAAATTCGTTGCGCTCAAGTCTGCGAAAAGGCACATTTTTCGGATTATAAACGCGCAGAACTTCCAAAAGCTTGATTTGGCAATGCGTTCTATCATGTATTGGCTAGGTGAAGCAATGTCCGACTGTTACTTGCCCCGGTATTTGGGTCTTGCAAGCAAGAAATAACTCATTGAATTCAGGGTTCAAAAAAAATCGGACTCTCCACATGTTTTGAAACGCAGCCAGCGCGCTTTTTGAAAAAGAGTATCTATGGCTTACTCGATCAATAGTCTAAGGTTGCTAGTACGGATAACCAAAACATCGCTGACTGACAGCCACTCTCGGTGAAGATATGAATAAAACAGTTTACAGCGTCTATTGGCAGAACTCTCTTTACAACCTAATAAAGTGCGGTTCATAATTATACGAACACCCAAAATTTTGCAAGTATCTGAACTTTTTGGGAAAAACTCAAAAAGCCGTTGGTACCACGCGATAGAACACAGCCGAAAACGGTATATGATCTATAAGAATGGAAATGGATGTCAATCTTAGGAGTGTTTAAGCGCCTGCTGCAAATTTTTAGCGGTTCATAATTATACGAACACCTCAAACAAAGGTCCATTTTTTATTCAAGATTGCAGTCATTTGAGTCCAAATTTTTTGCAAAGCTACAGTAACAAAGTTTGACGTGTCCGCTACACACTGAACCCAGTGCAGTTCAAAAAGAGAACCGTTACTTTTTTCAGAAGGCTCTAAATGCTTCTGAAGTGATTGCGCTCCAAAAACATCCATTCTTCTGCGGTTACGCGCTCTAATTAGCTTCTACCAAAGCTGTGAGATAAAATAAGTTCTTTCGATGGGTATTTTGTCTAACGCTCAGAAAATCTTTGCGTTTTCGTGCCGTTTTTCAACCAAGCTTCAACCTTACCACAGAGTTAGCACGATTTCGAGTCTCAAAACTCAGCTTCTCTCTTGCGCAAACATTTGATATGAAGCAGCTGCATTGTTTACATGATGATGTTTCTGTGCCAAAGTTATTGGGTCTTTTGTGGAACTGATCTTGAGGCTGTGGAGCTACAAACCAAATAAAGGTGTGATTGCAATAGTAAAAGCAGTGTTTTTGATAAAATGACGTCTGCATGGCCAAAACAAACGCTCAACGCTGCTGATTTTTTCTAACCAAATATACAATCTTGTGAACTTCCACACACTATAGGCCCCGGTCAGAATTCACGCGACTTAATCGTCGCGATCTAATCTCCAAGATTTCCATTCATTTTCATTTCACGTTCAACAATTTCGGCCTGGAAAAGTATCACAACCGAATGCAAGTTGATCGGTATGGGATGATGTTGTAACAGTTGTCTCGTCGCGATTCAGTCGCGACGATCAAATCGCGTGAAGTCTGCCGGGGCCATATGCTAACTTCATTGTACGACTTCAGAAGCTGAGTTTTGAGGCTCGAAATCGTGCTAACTTTAGGGTAACGTTGGAACTTGGTTGAAAAACGGCACGAAAACGCAACGATTTTCCAGGCGTCAAACAAAATACCTATCGAAACAGCTTATTTTATCTCATAGCTTTGGTAGAAGCTAATTGGAGCGCGTTAACCACAGAAGAATGGATGTTTTTGGAGAGCAATCACTCCGAAAGCATTTAGAGCCTTCTGAAAGAAGTAACGGTCCTCTTTTTGAACTGCACTGGGTTCAGTGTGTAACAGATGAGTCAGACTTTGTTACTGTAACTCTACAAAAAATTTGGACTCAAATGATTGCAATCTTGAATGAAAAATGGACCTTTGTTTGAGGTGTTCGTATAATTATGAACCGTTAAAAATTCGCATTAGGCGCAAAAACACTCCTCAGATTGACATCCATTTCCATTCTTATGGATCATATACCGTTTTCGGCTGTGTTCTATCGCATGGTACCAACGGCTTTTTGAGTTTCTCCCAAAAAGTCCAAAAAGCTACAAAATTTTGGGTGTTCGTATAACTATGAACCGCACTTTAGAATACCCTGCTACTAATACCCTATACCTGCTACATCAGAAATTGGCACCATGACTGTGAACGTTGGTCTACTTGGACAGGACCAGGAATATCATCGAGGAGATTGGGAGAGTAAAATCAGCAGTCTCAAGAGCTTTGGCATTATCTATCAACTAAGGAAATATTGTTAGAATAAAGTGATGGAACATGTAATTCTCTTTTCTCTATGCACTGTAGCGTAATTTTAGAAACTGATAAACACTTATATCAATCGGCCTAAAACCTTTTTTCTCTTCAGATGGAATTATGGTTTGAGTTTGACAGAAAATCACCATTATCGAAAACTCTAGAGGATTTCCTTTAGGTGGCAATTCAGCTCAGCAGCGCACCAGAGATGGCCAATGTTCAGCTTGGACTTCATGTGAAGTACGATGCCAGAGAACGATTGCAGGTTAAGTTTAGTTCTACTCCAAGTAGAAGTGAGAGAGCTTTTATCACATCAAATGTTGACACAGCTGATAGATTCTCACAGCTTCCTAATTCTTTATAACGTTAGCAACAAAACCTCATCTATGATAAGAGGGGGAGGGGGAAACAAAAAATTGAACATTTTTTTGAGAAAACTGCAAAATCATAAGAACAAAAGTTTCATCGACACAGTCTTGCGAACACGTCAAGTTAATTTTGATGCGGCATAAATTTGCAAAATAGCGAAGCTGCGTTCAAATTGTTAGATTCTCTTCTGACAGTAAGGGCGCGGGAGACTTCACGCAATATGCGAGCTGGCTATTTGCCAAAACAAATTTAAGTTTTATAATTTTTGCAAAATAGAAATGCCCCATCTTCTATACATTCAAAATGCTTACGATTAGATATAAAACAGTTGTATTGCCAAGTCCGTCGCGACTGAAATCGCGTGAAGTATGCCCGAGTGCTAAGACTTGCTATAAAAACGTTGTATGATCTAGACGGTTTAATTCAGGTGCACAATGTTGAAAACGGTAGTATTGCTGCGGTACACCTTCGACCGGGAGACGTTATACGGTACGACAATGTTTTCCTGTGAATGTTGTGGAAGAAAAAGCAGAAAAAGTGTAACCTTAATAAAATTATCATTTAATTGGCTGTAAATGGTAGTCACAAATATTATTTTGCCTTCTTTTACTGCAGTTTCGCTTTTTTTTATTCGATAGCATATATAGCTGGATTAGCATGCGCGCCCAATCGTATCGTATTTTTCCTAATAACATCAATGACGTCCATTTGAGATTAGTTTGACAGTAAATTTCAAAAATTTCGCGACCTTTTCTCGGGAGTGGGGGGGGCCGATCCGCCACTGATAGATAGTATGTTTTTTTGGAAGAGACAGAAGACGGCAAGAGGACTGAGATGTGCGACTAGAGAGACACCGACAGCGTCCGCAATGGCGTTCTGTCTCTGCGTGCGATGATTCGACTATAGTGGTATATGTACCGAATGCGAATGAATCTGTACAATATGCTTTCCAGTGAGGTCAATGAAAAACCGGTAGCTAGTAAGACTATGCTCAAATACTACATAAGTGAAGGAGCCGTCAAGGAAGGAAGCGTGAGTTGATCTACATGCTCATTAATTAAAAATTGAGGCCTCAAGAAATCTTTCTAGGTACACTTGCTCATTGAATGTCCCGCGGGAGAACCCTACCGTGACATCTGTGATATGGCCCCTGATGTTGCAGACATAGCATTTAAACAGGTAAGCTATGATTTGATTCATTGAGAAGGAAAGATGTCAGATAACATTTTCAGATGGAAATATTCAAAAAGAACATGCATGTTGTCCCAGCGAAAAGCATATATGTAAGCGGGCAGTCAGATAAACCAGTCAGCTATGCTAAAACCGAAGTGGAAGAGGTAAGCCATTCTGTGAGCCTAATCCGACGTAAGTTAAGCTAAACTAAACTCAACTTCCTATTTACTTCGAGCTGATTTTCCGAAAACTCGAACTCATACTTCATAGATGTTACCATACAATGTTACCATGATATCAACGCGCATTGGTCTTCTCCGCGCCGCACTGCTCTAGTGCGCACGCTTTGCGTCGCCCATGCACGACGTGGCGGGCGTCCACTCCTGGCGCTTTGCCAGCCGTCATCAGCTGATTTTCAGCCCTCCATATCATTCATGGCTATTTCTTCATTATTTTTACTTCTTTTTTCAGGGTTTCCGCTGCAAAGGTGATGGGCCGGCCCTAATCAGGCAGATATTATGGCGTTTTCGCAATAACACCAAGGAGACTGAATATTCCTTTACCTGGTGTTCTCTGTTATTGTTTTTTAGAATTTTATTCGTTTTTTTTTTGCCATAGACCAGTTTTTCTGCTGTCGCGGTTTCGAAAACGATTTTGTCAGTTAGAAGCCAAAAAGAGCTAAAAAACTCTCAAGTCATTAGATGAACTATGGTTAGGAAAGTCACTTTGGTGTACACGAGCATTGCCAATGAGCGGCAAACTTGTTTTGTTTTGACACAGTAACGATAAATTTCACCTGCAACCAAATGAAATCAGCTGGTGGCGCTTGGTAAAGAAAAAGGCCTAGAAGAACAGGCAGAATGAGCCGCAGCAAAACACTGGGTAAAGGAATATTCAGTCTCCTGGGTGTTATTGCAAAAACGCCATAACATCTGCCTGATTAGGGCCGGCCCGTCACCTTTGCAGCGGAAACTCTGAAAAAAAAAGAAGTAAAAATAATGAAGAAATAGCCATGAATGATATGGAGGGCTGAAAATCAGCTGATAACGGCTGGCAAAGCGCCAGGAGTGGACGCCCGCCACGTCGTGCATGGGCGACGCAAAGCGTGCGCACTAGAGCAGTGCGGCGCGGAGAAGACCAATGCGCGTTGATATCGATGGTACACCACAGATAGAGGGCTGCCGCCCCAAAATTATATAGAGGTTCATCTGACGTATAGATTCGTCATTTTCCGAAAGGAACCATATTCCCTTAAAGTATTTTTACTCATAATTTGAGCCATGTTCATGAGAAACGGGTAGCACCGTATTGTTATTCACAAATCCTACAAAAGTACTTGAATTTGCTGCATTATTCCAAAAATTTTTATTCCGCACGGCTTCGAAGGTCTTGCATGGTGCCATCTTTGCATTGAGTAGGATCTACCCATTGTTTCTGACGCTGATATTAATGAGACCTTTTGAAAAAGCAAAGATTTCTTTAGAAGGGATGACCAGACTTTGAAGGACTATCTCGTTCTCGTCTTCTCGATTTTTACACAAGTGAGGCCCCCTGTTTGTAAAGCACGGGTATTCACTTATGTTTTAGAACTTATCAGGGTTCTTACAGAAAAGCTGCCTAGGCAGCCATGTCAAAAACTGTGAGTTCTAGCAACAAAAGGAACCTAAAATTTTTGTTCTGCGCAAATTTCAATGACTTAAATAGCCAAACCACAACCAGAAGTTTTTTTTGCGCATCTCGAGAACTACACAAAGCAAAGTAGTCTACTTTACATCTTTCATGCCTAACCCCTATGATTTGGTCTACAAAAAAGTCAAGCGCTTCAAGCTGTATTACAATTGAAGAAATTTATTCAGGTGGAGATCGCAGCAGATTTTGATCCGTCGAAGCTTCGACCATGTAAAGGAGCAAAATAGCAAACACTTTACGAAATTGCTTTTCTTAATAAAGTTGTTACTCTCATGGAAAGTCTTCACATTCGTTCCTTCATTTCTCTATGACCTTAAAGCAGGGAACATAACGAACAATAATGAAAAAGCTTTTATATACATCAAATCAACATTATATTATGACTATCTTCACATTGTATAACAAAAGAACAGATATCTTCTTTGAAGATAATGTGGAAAGAGCTATAGTAAAATATGAGATTCTCAAAACTTTTAACTGAAGCCATTAAAGAGCGTAGGGCTGCCGCCTTGTTTGAGAAACCTAGACCAACAAAGCACATATGTGAGCCAAGCAAGATACAAAGTATTTCAGCGAGCTTAGGCTTAGAGGCTGACTGTCGACTGACCCGACAAAAAGCAGCAAAATTGCAAGCGCTCTATGAGAACATTTCGCAAAAATTTTGGTATACAAATAATAATTTGATCGACAAAGTGGTTATCGTTGGTTTTTGATAGGAGGTTATTGGATTAGAGGAGCTGTGGAAGCGATATGGTTCTAGGCCCAACTTCCACCACCTCCTTCGTCCTTGACGGGTTTCGATGGATACAGACCTCCTCCACCCTCTCCACCTCTATCGTCATAAACAACAGCAGGGCCTGGAGGATAAGCTCCACCACCTAAAAATGATAAATTTTTCCTACCTAGTTTACCAGAACTATCCTATGATCTTCAACAATCTACCTTACCGGAGCTACTATGTTAAACTAATCTCACTATAGGAAAAACCAAACACTAGAGAACTTTCTAGAGCACGAGCATGCACGACGAGGACGAGCACGCTTAAGCTTAGTAAGGTCACCTTGATATTCACCTCCACCTGGGTAGGCTCCTCCAGGGTAAGATCCTCCTGGATAACCACCTCCGGCAAAACCTCCACCTCCCATACCGCGTCGTCCTGGAATGCGTTTTGCATGATTTAGCCTCCAATTTTTATACATATCATGTACTCGATAATTTCATTTATGTTTATTCCCAACTTCATATTAGCTTACCTCGTCCTGAGATCAAGTTACCAAGCATTGATCCTATTCCTGCTCCACCAATGGAAGAGGCCATATTTCGCCACATAGAACCTCCACCACCGCCAGCACGTGGTGCAGGTCCTCCGCCTCCTCCACCCATCATTCCTCTTGAATCATCATATCCACCAGCAGCTGCATAAATAGAAGAAATAAAAGTGTAATCAGCTAAAAGAGGAAGGCAAAACCTCTTGGAGCTGATCCACCGCCTCCTTTTCCTTTACAGCAACAGCAATAGCAACATAAACAGCAGCACAGAAGTGGGATGATGACACCAACCAATGCGAACCAGAACCAGCCCGGAATCGATGGCGCTTTAAAGCCTCCACCTGAAAAAGTATCCAAAATTTTATCATAGCAAAAATTTTGACGAGTAAAAGTCCAAGGCAATAAGGTCAAAAATGTCTCCTTACCGCCCATTGGTTTACCTCTGCCACCATCGTCATATCCTGGCTTCGGTCCAGCTGGGATGGTACCACCACCGCTACCAGACGTTTTGGGTGATCCCTGTTTGGCTAGAGCTTTCTCCCTGGAATTTAGAATATACATTTTTACCGATTTTTCGAGCGAGACACAAATGACAAATTAGCTAAAAATGCCCCATGACAACATTGAGCTAAATCTATATTCTTGCAAAAGAAGTACCATTTCGTTTTGTGAAATGAATGGTAGCGGCGTTTCTCCATGATGCGTACTCCAGAGTTTCGAAAAAAATGCTTGAGGACCGTTCACACCATTAGACTAATTTGGTACGTGACACTGGTACTTTCGCTAGGTATGGTAGGTGTGGAACGAATGTGCCAAAATTTTACGATAGGAACACTGAGTCACGACAATAGTAATAATAATCTTATTTTATGCTGACTCGCTCATTTGGAAGCAGCTTACCATAACGAGAATGGCTCCTACGGGCTTGAAAAAAATAAACCAAAAATTAGCGACTTAGCCAACGGCATTCAAAAAATTGTTCACGAACGCGTTATAAACAACCCTCAAAAGCAAGTAATTATGAGCTTACCATGTTTGCTGCATGATATTGGTAAGAGCCTGCTGATAGTTGTTCTGTTGGAAAAGTGGCTTCTAAACAAAAGCGATCTTCATTACTATCGAATGCACAAAATCTCAAACGGATAACATTCTCTATGCAACTTCTATTTTCTTGATTTCACCTGAAGTGACTTACAAAGTAAAACCGAAGATATTACAGTTAATCTCAAGAGCTAAGAGCGATAAAATTTACGCACCTGTTGCATGAAAATTTGGGTGAATTCATCTCCGTATACCGGTACTTTATCATCGCGAGCAACCCAGAACTTTTGGTCATCCGTGGACACCTAGATGGCATTAAAAGCTAGGTATGCATTCATAAATACATAATATGTAAACAAACCACAAAAACAACAGCTTTCTGGCACTGAGGATCTAACGTCCATTTTCTGAGCATTTCGTTCGCCATGTTTTTTACAGCCTGGAAAAATTTGTATAGCAGAAATGAACTTCAGATGAATATGCAAACTGGATTAGAATATAAACACTATGAAAGGTGCCAAAAATATTTTTATAGAGATGAAAGAAGAATGCATTTCGTGAAATCTCAGATGATACCATAAACGGTTAAAAAGGAAGGGGGATAATTATTCTAAATGCAGCTTTGGCAATTTTTTGAATGTAACCAAAATTTAAATTCAAAGCAAAGTAGTTTTACCTCTGTAGATCCTCCTTTCACATGTCGTGCTATAGCCATGGCCGCTGTCACTCCTTTCTTATCACAGAATGTGCGACCATAATCCTTAGGTAAAATATCGTAATATATTCAGATTTCACTGAACATTCGCGTACTTGTCTAGTCCTACTTTCTAGTTGTTTGAGATCGTGATCGAGCCTATATCGAGCTTGTTCCGAGAGAACACCGTCAGGGTCGCAGATATTGGCAGTTGTTCTCATTTTGCATTCTTTAAATTGACCCGCGGTGGGATTCGGGAAGTTGTAGGCGTCCCATTCCTGAGCTGAGCTGCCCACAGCCAGTAAGACGAGAATCAACCACCGCATTATGCGGATAGGGAGTTTGAGCCTTAAGACTGGAAGAAAAGTCAAGCAAGATTAAAATTTGAGTAAGGAGCATGCAGTCACGAAACTCGGCAGTTGCATAGTTGAAGAAAAGAGCGAAGAACGAACATAACTTTTTAGAAATGTTATGAAAACTAAGTCAGGTATGCTACTATCATAGAAGAAAGAGCCGCATGCACTGCAGAATCGATAGGAAACAAAAAAAGAGGTAAAATCATTCAGAATTCAATGAATAATGCAGTTTCGAGTTGCATTGAGGCTGAGATGGGGTATACTCACAAAATAAAATAGTCTATACTTACATTACTACAAATATATGTATGACCAATTCGTACTCTTTGAACACTCGGATGCTTAGCTAACACATTTGCACTTCCAACACTTCGTTACTTTGCACCAATCTCAAAGAAGAAGAAAATGGCTACTCTTACTGCCTGATAACGCTGTGCAGTTTCGTCATTATTCCTGCTATACGTACATATGGCGATTTTTTCCGATCAGGAGAAGTGCATTCAATCAAATTCTCAGTGTCATATGCCACGGTATTGCGTATGAGAAATGTGCAACGGTTCTAGCACATGTATGATGCAAGGTGGGGAGGGAGGGGGGTAAGAGAGGGAAGCGAAGAAAGGGGCACACTGATAACCCTAGATGTAGTGTTTGAAACCTCGAATTTATAACTTACGTGGATTGATAAAATGCCCTATCTCTTGTACATTCAGAATGTGCTTACAATGAGTTATGGACAGTTGGAATACTGCCAAATCGATTCGCGACTGAAATTGCCCGAAGTATGCCCGGCCCTTTTTGGAGAATAGCATCAGCACGCCTCGAATTTTGCCTGATTTTGACAAGAAGAAGGCGTGCTGATGCTATTCTCCAAAAAGGGCCGGGCATACTTCAGGCAATTTCAGTCGCGAATCGATTTGGCAGTATTCCAACTGTCCATAACTCATTGTAAGCACATTCTGAATGTACAGAAGATAGGGCATTTTATCAATCCACGTAAGTTATACACACTATGCATGTGCAGTTTGTTAGTGTTGGATCCGAAGACTTCTGGCGAATTGCCAAATCGCGTCGCGACCGAAATCGCGTGAAGTATGCCCGGCCCTAAAAAGACTTTCGACAGGGTATCTGTATGGAATGAAAAGAGCATTTTGCTACCACTAAGCAAACAATGCAGCATTTTTCTTTCAGCCAAAGTAAAACGCACATTTCAATGTCCTCCCACCTGTGTCCCCTATTGGGAGTGACAAAGATATATGCACGACATGTATAATATTTGATCCTAAGTGGATGATGCTCAACGAATTTGTGAAACCACAAAATTCTCATTGAACTAGATGTCAGCTATGATCAAAATTCTGAATTTGGTTACATACTTGATTACTGTAATCTCACTATCAAAAATTAGCGAGTCATTTGCACAACGGAAGCCATTCAAGAGGAAAGACCGTATAACGATGGCTATGACTATAGACTCAAACGGCAGCTACAATGTGTTGCGACAATGCCTCGCACCAACTACACATAAGAGAATGAAAAACCAACAGAAAAAAGGGCAACCAAAATAAAATAGCCTGTTTCGTCGCTTTTTTCTGTCAAACTATTGGGATGAATAAAAATTCTGCTTTTGTGCTCCTACAAATGTTGAGACAAATTTTGGTCCAGTATCTGGTCCTTTGAAAATAACACTTAAATGGGAAATGGAAAGTAAGTTTAAATAGATATTATTTTTCAACGAAGAGAAGGCGCAAAAAAGTGAAATACCCCATTCTCATTGGTGCAAATGTGAGAAGATTTGTATTTTTTATCAAAGCATTTCGAATTGGCAGATCACACTCTTTATTGATATTGATAGAGAAAAATTGTATGTAAGCAAATACCAAGTTCCTCATCTCTACATCCATCACTTCACGAAAACCAAGCTTAGAAAGTCAGAGAACGGAGCTTTTGGAAATTCCGCCATTTTAAGAGATGTCTCTACTGATAGTAGAGAATTCCGAGTAGTTAATAAGTGTTAGTCAAAGCTTTGAATTATTTTTCGTAAGAAAATCACCGAGAGTAACCAAGAAGGAAAGTTCTCATGGAGGTGCATGCCAAAACGCACATATTTTCTAACCAACTCAATATTTCCAAAGCTCGACTTGGCTTGATTATATGGCAGAAAATCGATGTCTATTCGGATTCAATAAAACTTGAACATCAAAAGCCGTACAGACAGATATCGATCTAAAGCAGACGCCTAGCCCATCACGATGCGACAGTGGAGCCACAAGCCATTTATTTGCAGATGCAGCATGTTGTTTAGCATTAGGTCAGCCAACATACTCTCGCTGTCTAGCGGATCACACTCGAAAACAAATCTTGTTGTTTGAGCACCACTCTATTGTTTTTTTTTCATCACGATTTTATCGATTTCTGTACATTTTAAAGCGTGATTTCCCGAAGAAAAGAAAAATATTGCGTTGTTAGCATCAAAAAATGCGCAAAACAAGAAAGTAAATATGTTTTTGAGCCAAGTAAAGCCTCAACGATGTTCAGTACAACTCAGACTAAACTCTAAGCATGTTTGCGATATGTACATACGAATGGATTATCTGTTGACATTAGCTGATGCATAGAGGGCATTTTAGGAGTGAGGCTGCATGCGAATTTCCGTCATGCAACATCTTATCACCTTGGAAACGTTCTTTGATGTAATCATACTTACAAACCAAAGCATACATAAAATGTTGCTGTTCTCTCCCTATCGAGATGAACTGCATACATTCATGATTTTCAATCGAAAAAAAGAACGCTGGGATCTGTTTCATTGCTGAAGCACAAAAGTATTATCAACCAGAAAAACTATGCATACTGACCCGAGATTGGAAGCGTAAAGAATGAATTATAAAAACTAGCTTAGTCTTTCACGGTAAGCCTTTATATTGTCAAAAAAGGAGCAAGATTTGAGCAAGCAAAATCAAATGACATGTTAAAAAGCACAAATTGATGGACTATAGGTTTGAAATCTCTCCAAACTCAAAAAACTGTTGACTAGCCGGAAATCGCATATCTAAGGGATATGGAATACATATGGCACCAACAATAACATGTCGACAACCGCAGTGTATTCGAAGCATAAATGTTCAATGATCAGGCACGTAGCTAGGCATGGAGAGTGAAAACAGCAACTAGTGGCCACAACACGTGCAAGAGGAACGATTTTAGACAGACGTCTGGCTGAGCAGCGACTCTACATTCTAAAATAAACAGTTTATTATAAAAACACGAAATTGTCGCAATAGGTTGTAGGGCAAGTGCAAATCTAGACCCTCTGTGCAGATTCAAATAAATTCATTACATAAATCAAAAAACCAAATCTCATTTCATCAAAATGTGCTCAAAAACATCCTATAAATTCGCCTCAGATCATAAACGTGCCAGATATTCTAATCCGTCCAAATGACATCATGAGTGAAAAATTTTGGTAATATTTGAAAATCAGCTCTATTTGCCAAAAGAATAACAGCTTGCGCTGAATATAAAACATTTACATGGTGCCATTTATCACAACTGTGCCAATATGCATTTCCTTCCGCATCCTCTCCCCCCGGCCTCGTATCTTACTCGTCAATGCACTAGAAGGAGTGTGACTGGTACAGAACCCAAAGAGATTATGCTATGAAGAACAGAGGGCAAATAACGATACTAGTGACAGCTGCTCCAGGTGAAGTGCGCCATTAACGCTATGTGAGCAAAACAACTTTCTTTGAGCACAGAACAACAATCATAAAGCGCCAAAGGACGAAGGTAGTAATCGATATAACACCTGACAAGGATTTTCCCATAGAAGCGATCAAAAAAGGAACAAATAAGAAAGCCTAAACATTTGAATGTCTGGAGATTAAAAAAATAGCAAAAAATCAACTTTGTGATGGAAACATGGCGCACAAAAAACTGATGGATTCGTTTCACGGAAGAAAAGCAGTGATGTAAGTTACTGGAATAGTGTAATGGATATAAAGAATCTCCCGAAATCACTACGTAATATATAACGAATTCGTTGATTACGCAATAGTCCTCTGATAGTTGGATTATGGCAAACGAGGAGGCCGCAGACGTAAAAATTATGATGAAATACACTGATCTTTGGAATTGGATTGCTGCCATTAGCGGTGAGTAAGTCAGTTGACACGATGCCAAATTTTCGTAAGCTTTTGGAACGGTGCCAAATTTCGTAAGTATGGGCAACTGAAACAACACACATGCATAACGGCATGTTTCGGGCGTGTTTTCGATCGATATCGTCATTATTTTTCACGTCTGCAGTTTTGACCATCCTAGGAACTGTTCTAATTTCCACGTTCATTCTAGAATTTCTTCCAGTAACTGTTGTTCTGGATTCTGCTCATTCGAGAATATCTTAATAAGAGATTGTCATCGCCGATGATTTGGTTTCTAAGGAGAGGGGAATCTAATGTGACCGGAAGTGCTTTCGCAGTTGGATCATCATTCTCTTGTGCTTTATGTTCTTTGATATTCGCTCCTAATAAGATTGTTATCGCCGAAAATTTATTTTCTATGGAGAGGGAATTTGAGGTAGAAATTTGTCAAGCGTACTCCCGGTAACATTGGAGCTAAAACTGATCGTGAGTTCATTACAAATTCGACTCTTCTGTGTGAGGTGTTTAGTATCTTGAAAACACTCAGTGAGAGAGATTTTACTCCAAATATGACATCCGCCTGTAGATACAAATAGCAGATACAAATGAGCAGATGTAACGGAACGTCTGAAAGAACTAACAAAACAAACGAAAGAGCATTTGTTTTTATTTTACTGAGATCTGAGATGAGTGATATTTAGGCCCTGTATTCTCTGCAGGTTTGCTGTGCAAGAGAGGAAAACTTGTCACCGTTTTGGTATACAAAAGTCTGTTGAAACCCGATCGAGCAGAGAAACAGATTTTTGCATGTTGGGGCTGTTCTTATAATTTTTTAATGGTCTTCAAGCGGCATGTAGGGCATGAACTGTCTTTTAGA